CAGAGCCAGGACAAGGCAGGTCCTCAGCTCCCTTCTTTCTCCTTCTTTTGTTCTCCCTTCTTTTCGTTCATTTCCATTATATCTTAGCTAATGTTAAAAACAACAAATTAACAGAGACAGCAAAGAAAGTTTACAGCTACTTCATTTGAAAAGATTGATAAAGTGAGCTGACAATGTTAATTATAATAACTTTAAGCCATACAATTTCCCATAAAAATCATCCTCTATTGTGATCTTGTTTTAAACCATTCTTTCTAGAATAAACCTATGCAAAGAAAGTATGGTGTCTGGCAGGAAAGTGGGATCTTTTTATTCTCCCTCTGATGTTACATTGTACCTATTGGAAAGACCATGAGAAAGTTCCTGTATCCCTGAAAGAGGGAAACTTAATAAAGTGGAATCCAGCCTTACCTACAAGTCTGAAACAAACAGAAGAAATGCTCTTAGCACTGGGATGTAATGGGGTTTTTTTTGTTGAGGGGAAGAGAAACAGGGTTTTACTCTGTCACCCAGGCTCTTCTCAAACTCTTGGTCTCAAGTGATCCTCGCTCTCCCAAAGTGTTGGGATTACAAGTGTGAGCCACCGTGCCCGGCCTGATGTTTGGTTTTGAGGTGCCTGGAAGGGCACTACATTAGTGTGGGGTCTGGGTGTCAAAATTCAACACAGTGGAAGAGGACAGGACCACCCCCATCTCGAGGATGGAACGAGGTATACCACACTCACATAGTCCACGTGCTTTTTCTCAACATAATTACCTTAAATTGCTCATTTCCTAGTTATTTGGTATGTGTGTGCGTGTGTACAAATGAGCAGATGTCTCTGCTGATTGTCTGATCAGCAATCTGTAATTAGACCCCAAGGAACAACCTGCTCATTGCGGTTGGGGCCATTAGCCACTTAAATAATGACATCTGTCCTAATTTTCATTCCTCATCCTGTCCTGGGTCTTATCTCCAAACTGCACTCAAAACAAATGTCTACGTTTTCTAAAATAGACCAATCCAATTTTTAGTAGTTGTAGTCACCATCATGGTGGAGGATTGTAGGGCTGAACAATATCTAATAATTACTGAGTGCCTCCTCTGTGCCTGGAATTGTCTAAAGGTCTTTACAAACAGTGTTAAGTCACTGAGTCCATGCAAGATCTCATTCTATAGATACAGAAATTATTGTACTGAGACACTGAGTTCAATTATTCACATCTAGAAGGGAACAGAACTGAAATTACTATTTAAGGCTGCTGGTCGTCCATACTATTTACTGTTTTCATTTGGACTGGCTGCTGTGTGTCATTTGGCTAGTGAGGGACACAGGGTCTTATTCTGTCACCCAGACTCTTCTCAAACTCCCAGCCTCAGTGATCCATCCACCTTGCTCTCCCAAAGTATATGCCCTGAGTATATGCTCAGAATATATTAAAATGTGGAAAAAAGTGTACAAATCTAGTTTTGTATAAAGGGAGCCAAATTAAGATAATAATCTTAAAATAATGGAACATTTATCAAATTCAGTGATTGTCAACTGGGAGCAAACCCTGCTACCTCAGGGGACCTTTGGAAATGTGTGGGGTCATTTGGGGTGCTTTTGGCTGTTATGCTGGCCTGTTACACTGGGGGGGGGTCGTTCAGGGGGCTCCATGACCTATCATCTGCAAAACAATTTTAGACAATACGGACTCCTTGTCTGGCTCTAAATGTCAGATACTACTGAGAAACACTGATCAAGTGCAATGGTAGGAATCTGAAATGATACTGTAAAACTCAAAGGTGGCAAACTCAAATGCCTTTAGGGATTAGTCAGGAAGTGATGATCATGTCCCATTTTAGGGGCATAAAATTCAAATCACTAAAGCATTTCATCAAACAAAAATTAGGTGTCAAATGTGGCCTGTGGATCGCCAGGTTAGAGCCTTTTAATGGGGGTTTTTCTGACTAAAAAACATGTTTACAATATATTAAGAGGAGAAAAAGCTAATAATCTGTATGATTCCCTGTTTTAAAGACATGGTCTCTGTGTATACACATATTCGCATACATGTATACACTTATATTCATGAAAATATTTAGAAAATTTTCTAGAAGGATATGGATAAGTTTTGGGGTAATTTTTTTTTGGATACAGTATCTCACTCTGTCACCCAGACTGGAGTGGAGCGGTATGATCACCGCTCACCGCAGCCTCACCTGGACTCAGGTGATTCTCCCACCTCGGCCGTCCGAGTAGCTGGGACTATAGGCATGTGCCAGGCACGCCCAGCTAACTTTTTTGTATATTTTGTAGAGATGGGGGCTTGCTATGTTACCCAGACTGGTCTTGACCTCTTGGACTCAAACAATCCACCCGCCTCAGCCTCCCAAAGCGCTGGGGTTATAGTTGGGAGCCACTGTGCCTGGCCCAATTTGGGGTGATTTTCTAAAACGCTTTCCTCATTCATATGTTTAATTCTTTGACTACAAATGTCTGCTAGTTGTGTACTTTTGAATAAATAAAGTAGAAGAGGAGCCTTAAAAAATTAAAAGCTTTGAGTGTAGTATTAGAATACAGCCCAGGCGACCTACTGGCCACCCTCCTCGAGGGGAGAATTGTGTCTGTGATTAAGGACAAACGAGATATTCAATATCAACAGTCGACACCATTGCTGCCTTCCCAAACACTCTGGCCTAGTGAGCCTCTTCCACACTTTTCATTTCTACCGTACATACGATAAAGCTCTTCTGGTAAAACCCAGCCTTCCTTGTGCAGCTGTCCTGGGAGGGATCCTGAAGAACCCCAGACGATGCTTGAGAAATCAGGATCTGTGCTGAATTTTATCTTAGGGGGTCTTACCCAACATTAGATAAGAGCAGGGCATTTTCAATACAGCTCTGCCCCTTTTTCAATCAAGTCACCAAAACCTTCAAGATCATTGTTTTTCCTGAAAAATCCCAGTTTTGCTTTATTGCAATCATGTCTGTGTTTTCTTTCCAGTGTTTTGGCTCTACACTTTTTATTTTGTGCACAAGTCCTTTTTTTTTTTTTTTTTTTTTTTCCTGAGACAGGGTCTTGCTCTGTTACCCAGGTTGGAGTGCAGTGGCACTATCTCGGTTCACTGAAGTCTCAACCTCCTGGGCTCAATCGATCCTCCCACCTCAGATGCCTGAGTAGCTGGGACCACAGGCAAAAGCCACCACGCCTGGCTAATTTTTGTATTTTTAGTAGAGACAAGGCTTCCTATGTTGCCCAGGCTGGTGAGGAACTCCTAGGCTCAAGTGATCTGCCCACTTCAGCCTCCAAAAGTGCTGGGATTACAGGGGCAAGCCATCCTGCCTGGCCAAGTCACTTTTGGCTGAGCTTTATTTGTGGAGTTTGCTGATCACTCGGCAATACTGGATTTTCTATCCATTTGTCTAAGGACACTGGGGAGGGGAGAAACAGGTAATTTCCTGGAGTCTTTTCTGGCTTGCTCCCTGGGTCGGTCCCCAGGGTCCCTCCTTCATGTCTCCCTGCAGCCCTCCTTACCAGTAGCTAGTCACGGCTCTCCTACAGAAAGAACCCAGAAGTCCTGCAGCTAACCAGGTGACATGTGGTGCTTCTTGACACTGCAGGGGTGGGTGCAGGGAGGAAAGGAGAGAGGGCTCCAGCATAGACAGGAAACAGAATTCTCCCGTCTAGAAAACCGCTGCTTTTCACCCCCAACCCACCCCTTTCACATGCTGAAGCTATACCAAATGAGGAACTCATGTCTGGATTCTGAATCCACTTTTATAAACCAAACTAAACAGAAATCTCTGGGAGTGAAAATGTTAAGTGCACTTTACTCATTAAGGTCCTTTAGGAGAAGTGTCTAGAATGTATCCTGCAGGAAAGTGAGGACTGAAGCAAGTAAATTGGGCATGAGTCGCTCCCAGTGTTGGACCTCCCTCCAAAGAAAAGTCATTCCCAAAGACTAGTTCCTTGCCACTGCGTTTGAAGGGTGTTGGGTAGGCGGTGCTATTTTCTCTCCTGAGATTTCCACGTGGCAAACTCCTGCAGCCCTGGAGAGGCAGGGACGGTGAACCCTGAACCCTCCCTCCCCACCACTTCCATTTCTCTCTCTCCGGATTCCTGGTGCAAGTTTTGATCCTAGGAAGCTCCAGCCTGAGAACTACTACAAATAAAAACAAAATTTCCAGGACTTCTTGCATTGTCTTTAGCATTTGGAAACCTTGATTGGGAAAATAAGGCTTAAGGCAGTTAAAGGCTTTCTTGGTTGTTCGTTTGTTTGTTTGAGATGGAGTCTCACTCTGTCGCCCAGGCTGGAGTGCAGTGGCGCTATCTCAGCTCACTGCAACCTCCGCCTCCCAGGTCCAAATGATTCTCCCGCCTCAGTCTCCCAAGTAGCTGGGATGACAGGTGTCCGCCACCAAGTCTGGCTAATTTTGGTATTTTTAGTAAAGACAGGGTTTCACCATGTTGGTCAGGTTGGTCTCGATCTCCTGACCTCAAGTGATCCGCCCACCCTGGCCCCTCAAAGTGCAGGGATTACAGGCGTGAGTCACTGCGCCCAGCCAAAGGCTTTTTAAGTTTTATGAGGTAGGATGGTGGGTGGGTGTGAGACCCCATCTCAGTGCTCAGTAAATATCATATGAAAGGCTTAGAAATTATTGTGCCTTTGTGTATAGAAAATGCCATATTCAGCATCATGTAGATGGAACTCATAAACTGACTTCTTAAAGAAACATATTTGTGAGGGTATAATAGCATCCACAGCCCAATGAAGCTGTGTGGTATGTGACTGCATGGGATGTGTGCCTGTTTGCATGCATTTAAGATCTGAACTCCTTCGCAGAATCTATGCCAATGTATTCGCTCAAGGAGGGCTCCTTCACACAGGTGAAGGCTCTCCAGGAGCAGAAAGGAATGGGCCCCTTCACACAGGTGAGAACTCCCGGGCAGCAGAAAGGAATGGTCGAGAGCATAGGCTTTAGACTTAAAGCTCAAATTCAGGCCTTGCCACTTGCTACCTGTGTGACCTCAGACATCACCCACCTCTCTGAATCTCAAGTCACTTGTTATAAAAGGTGGATAGTCCTTTCCGGCAGTGATGATGCACTCATGAGAACATGCTTCTCACAAAGGATCTCCATCCCTCTCTAGAAGAGGAGAAGAGGAGACGCAAGAAGAAACGCCTGGTGCAGAGCCCCAATTCCTACTTCATGGATGTGAAATGGCCAGGATGCTATAAAATCGCCACAATCTTCAGCCATGCACAAAGGGTAGTTTTGTGTGTTGGCTGCTCCACTGTCCTCTGCCAGCCTACAGGAGGAAAATCGAGGCTTACAGAAGGATGTTCTTTCAGGAGGAAATAGCACTAAAAGCACTCTGAATCAAGATGAGAGGGCAACCATCTCAATAAGCACATTTTGGATTTAAAAAAAAAAAAAGGTGGATAGTTATAGCTATGGCCCTCATAAGAATAGTTGAGTGAATTGGGTAAGATGTGGGGGCATGCCAGGGGCTCAGCACTGTGGTTGGCAGCAAGTGGCTATTAGATACTAATACTGTTCCTGCCTATTTTACAGGCTTAAAAACTGAAATATTGGGAGAGGAAAGCAGTTGATCCTCAAGTAGCTGAGTTTCTCCGAGGGAAATTTGTTTCAAGAGCCCTGGAGTCCTGAGCAGCTCCTGACCTCTTGCAGATCTCCAGGAGAACCCTGCCAGTGGCACTGCTGAGAGACAAGGTCCCAGGGTGGTTCCTGAAAGTGCCTGAGCCCCAACTTATGAGCAAGGAGCTTGTCATGCTGACAACGTGAGTGGGCCCAGGAAAAGCAGGAGCAGGGTTCCCTCCAGGCTAACTGGCAGAGCTGGCTTCCAAGCACACATGCCACCCTTCCTGGCTGTCCCAGCCTTATCATCCGGAAAGGCCAAGGGACCTATGCTGGGATGCGCAGCAACGCCAGATGTCTGCCTCTAGCTGGGACAGGATAGATTTGCAGTTGCAGTCACATCCCGGCAATCTCTGACTTTGCCCCTTTTCCTTTCCCAACAGAGTCATGGAGCTCTGGCACGGCTTAGTGATCGCGGTGGTGTCCTTCTTCCTGCAGGCCTGCCTCCTCGTCATCTTCAACTACCTGCTCAGCAGGCACATGGGTAACCGGCCCAGCGTCCTCTTCCCTCCTAGTCACTCTCAGAGCCTGCAGCAGGACAGGACCCCTTTGGAATGCCCAAATGTCACTCAAAAACCTACCAGAGGACCCTCCAACCAAATCCTTCCCCCCTTTCATCCCCCACCCCTAACTGTAACTGGGTAATCCCCACTCTGACCTCACGTTTTATCCAATGATTTCTGGCTGGAAGTGACCACCCACATCCTTCCACTACCCAGACCTTCCACCTAGACACAGCTTCTGCAATGCCTATGAGGAAGTGTCCATGTCACCTGGGTCTAATTAATTTTCTTCATCACTGCCAAGGGACTGAACATGAAGAAATGGCCTTGAATTACAACAGAAGGCAATATGGTTGGACTTAGAGATTAGTTTAAATTCTTGAACTGACTTACAATAGAAGGTAGTGAATCTTGGTCCTGGAAAGGCATTTCAATTAGGGAAAGTAAAGTAACACTGCTTTGGTTGTGCTAAGAGGAAGGATCGGGCAAGATGATGTTTTGAGGGTCTTCCTAGTTAAGTCTAGCTTTATTCATTCGTTTATTCATTCATTCAACAGATATTTCTTGAGCATCTAAGATACTCTCTGGGCCTAGGCTGTACAATGGGAAACAAAACAAAAGTTCCTACCCTCTGAATCTTTCATTCCACATGACAACAAACAAGATAAACAGTAAAACACGTGTATGCTAGGTTATGGCAAGTGGCAGGGAGGAAAAATGGAGCAAGGAAGTAGACATGGCTTGGTGGATGCCAGGCAGCCCCGAGACGCTAACCTTTGGGTCTAAACTTACAGGCAGTGAGGAGTGAACTCTACCTGCACAGGCCTGAAGGAGGAACGTGTTAGGCACACACTAGTACAAGAGCAAAGAGGCAGGGCAGCTGGAGCGGGCAGAGAGAAGCAGGAGAAAGCCAGAGCGGAGGGAGGAGGGAGGCCTCGGAGGCTGGGACTTGGCTTTTTCCAAGCGGGGCCCAGAGCCGCTGGAGGGTTTTGAGCACAGCAGTGCTGAGATTTGAAGGGATCTTTCCGAAAGGTTTGCCATACTGAGGGCGTGTTCAGAAGGTACTGATTTCAGAGCCGATGTGCCCAGCCCAGGCAGCTTCCACTTTTTTTTCATTTTGAGATGAAGTCACACTCTGTCCCCCAGGCTGGAGTGCAGTAGCAGCACAATCTCGGCTCACTGCAACCTCTGCCTCCAGGTTCAAGTGATTCTCTTGTCTCAGCCTCCAGAGCAGCTGGGATTACAGGTGCACGTCACCACACCCACCCAGCTAATTTTTGTGTTTTTAATAGAAATGGGTTTTCACCATGTTGACCAGGCTGGTCTCAAACTTCTGACCTCAAGTGATCTGTCCACCTTAGCCTCCCAAAGTGCTGGGATTACAGGGGTAAGCTACTGCTCCCCACTCCCCTGCCAGCTTCCACTTTTGACCCCTGCCCTCTCCTCTCTAGCCCACCAGAGTGAAGAGATACTGAAAGCGACCAGGCTCCAGGTCCCCAGGCCCAGCCCTGTCCACCAACATCCACCTGCTGCCAAAGAGATGGAGACTCAGACAGAGATAGACGCCCTAATGTCTGATCCCTGTTACAGGCGTGAGTAAGGGGTTGTGGGGAGAACTTGTCTCGGGGCTTGCTTTGCTCTGTCTGGACACCCAGGACCTCCCTGCGGCAACCCTGGGGGCCCAAACCTCTAGCCTGAGGATTCCTCCCGCCCTCATAAGGACAGGCCTTGCCAGGCTACTTTTTTCAGAAAGGTGTTTTATTCTATTTCATGGGGAAGATCCTGCTGGGTTGGTGTGGGTCTAAGTTCTTTCCTGGGTTTAGTCGTGTGCAAATGATTGCAGGGGCCTTGGGAGATGGCCCTGCCCTTCTCTTTGAATAGCCACGGCATCTTTTCTTCTGCTTGATCGGCTAATGGTGGAGTTAGAATTTCACCTGCCCCTGCCTGCCTCCACCATGGCTGCTGCAAGGTCACGGTTCTCAGCTGGCTCCCGAGCTGGCTCCTCCACAGTCCCCAGAGGGATCCTTCTTCGTACTCCTAAATCTGCATGGGTAACTGAGTGTATAAATGTTGAGTCTTGCTGCTGGTTCAAGTCTATATCACCCTCCGGCAAGTGAGCCAAAAGGTCACTATTCACAGTGGAAATGGCTGCTTTGGCAGCAAGACATCTCCCTGATGGGGGCTCACTCACCAGAGATTGCACTTTTTCCACTGGTTTATCTCTTGATGGGTTTCAATTTGCTCTGTCCAGATTTTATCTTTTCGGTTGAGGCATAGCCTCAGTGCCTGCCTGTGGGGACCCCAGGGAGCCGCTCACATGCATGCAGTGTTTCAGCAGAATGGAGAGGCACTGGCCTTACCCTAACCCCTGGCCCCAAAGCTTCACCAGAGCCTGGCTACAGTCAGGGATTGTTTAGCTGACAGGGACCTCAGAGGCCATTGCTCAACCCTCTTGCCTTGCGAGGGATGAAAACCAGGACACAAAAAAAGATGTGATCGGCCTAGATTTAGTGACAGCTTTGGACTAGGTGTGACTTCTGAGGCCAGAGCTGTATGCGTTGGGCCACATTTTCCCAGCGTGTCCCTCCTGACTTTTCTTTCTGGAAGACAGCCCTTTCCAAGCACAGTCAACCTAGTGTATTTTTTTAAATTTGTTTTGGATGGAGTTGAATGAAGCAGCAGTGCCTGGACTCCTGGACGTGTCCATGCCTATTTTTGGAGACTTTCTCTCCCCCGACTCTTTCCCTATTCTCCTTCTCCTTCTTACTCTTTTGGGGCATCTGTATCTCTCTTCCCTATCCCCCTTTGCGTTGCTGGCTCTGCCTCTGTCTTTATCTGATAATAAGACAATTCTCCCTTCCATTGTCTCTGTTCTCTCTTAACACCCTCTGGCTTGCTTTAGAAGAGAAACCATGTCTATTTCTCCCCAGATGACAGCGACACATCCTCAGACAGCTCAGGTGGTTCCTGCAGTTCGCCTCCCGTCTGCCAGGTAATGGATGTGCCTAGGGATCACCGACCAGCATATGCAGTCTGAGGGTTCCTGCTGTAATACGCTGAGAACGCAGGTTACCCCAGCTATGGAGTGGGAGCCAAAAAGGAGGGCTTCTTGAGCCGTTACAGCATCCTTAGGTGAGGGGTCAGGCCTCCACCCACAACCATATGAGCATGGATCAGCCAAACAAAGCGGGTCTGAACAGACTATGCAAATGAAAGTGCTAACGGGAAACCTTCTTCTCCCCAAACCCCAGTCACTGGCTAAAGTCTGCTCTGAGTCCTGACCTCACTTGAATTGAGTCTCAGCATCTTATCTTCCTGTTGCCTCCACCTGCTCGTCTGTAAGCCCATTCCTTGTAGACAGGTGGAACAAAGTCACTGGTAATCTTCCTCATTGCCCTGGACTGCTCTCAGACACAACTGCTTGGACCCAGATCCTTTTACACCAAGCTGTGGGCAAACCACTTTGAGTGAGAGTTCAGTCCTGGGGTCTTATTTCCTCCAAACGTGGTAGGGATATTGACCCACATGTCTCTGCTTTTCTCCTAAGGCCACCAACCATGTGGATTACACACAAGTCATCTTTTCAGCCCCTGGAGAACTAAAAGATGACTCTGCCCTGGACTATGAGAACATAAAGGAAGTCACAGATTATGTCAATGTCAATCCAAAAAGCCACAAGCCCAATTTCTGGAATTTTGTCAACCCTGCTCTGTCTGAGCCAGTGGAATACAGTCAAGTGGCCATGTGAATTCTGGATGTTTTTAATGGGGTCCAGTTCTCTATGGATTCTTACATTTAATTTGTAGAGGAATGCCATTTTTCCCCCTTAAACAAAGCATGGGGCTCCCAAGGCTATGGAGACAGGCCAAAAATAATGTGGAGAAGAAAACTGACAATCCACAGAAGTCCTCAGCACCCATGGACTCCCTGACAAAGTTTAAACTTTTTTTTGTAAAGTGGATCTCACTATGCTGCCCAAGCTGCTCTTGAACTCCTTACCTCACGTGATCCTCCTAACTCAGCCTCCCAAAGCACTGGGATTAGGCATGATCTACTGCACCTGGCCTGATCTCTTTTAAAAAGGAAAAAAAAAAAAAAACCGGGTGCAGTAGCTCATGCCCGTAATCTTACTACTTTGGGAGGCTGAGGCGGGCTGATCATTTGAGGTCAGGAGCTTGAGACTAGCGTGGCCAACAGGGTGAAACCCACCTCTACTAAAAATACAAAAATTAACTGGTTGTGGTGGCTCATGCCTGTAATCCCAGCTACTCGGGAGACTGAGGCAGGAGAATGGCTTGAACCTGGGAGGCAGAGGCTGCAGTGAGCTGAGATTGTACCATTGCACTCCAGCCTGGGCGACAGAGCAAGACTTCATCGAAAAAAAAAAAAAAAAAAAAAAATTAAGAGTATGCTGAAGTGATTCAGGCAAGTCACAGTGCACCCAAGAGACACTCCAAGGACACTGCTGAGACAGTTTCCACCAGGAGAGGGGACAAAGAGGGTAAACAGAGCACCTCCTTTCTGCAGAATTCTGGGACGGGCCTTGAGTGTTGAGAGGAGAGATCAATAAAAAGAAGCTTTAATCATCTGGGCTCATCGGGGTGGTCAAGGCATCTATGACCTAATTGTGGGGACAGGAAAGAGCCAGAGAACATGTACAAAACAACACGTAACAAACAGCACAAAGCAGTGAAACCAGAGCCTATCAATGTTCACACAGATCGGGGAACAGGGTGTTAGAATCAGGCAGGCTTAATCAGGAAACATCCCAGAAAGAGGTGATTTCTGACCTCAGCTTAGAAAAGAAGGTGGCAAATCAACGGATGGGAGAAAAGGCAGAAGGGAAAGGAACAGATCTGACCTGCCGCAGGCTCTCAATAAATGCCTGAGGGACGGCCCTGAGAGGAACTGCCTGGAGAACTGTCCCTGTCTGAGCTCAGAGGCTGCTGCGATACTCTGGAGCAGGGAGTTGGTGTCAGGGGAGCCAGAGGCTGTAGAATGACCATAGACCATCTGATGAAGCTCTATAACAAACCCTGCTTCAGAAATATGACATTTTGTAGGGTCCAGCCCTACTAGGGCCGTGGAGTGTCCCCTATCACTGTGCTGAGGCGCTGGATCCAAGAAATAAGGAGACAAAACACCTAAGGACTGGATAAGAGCAGCTGGGCTCGGGGACCAACGCCACTCACAAGCGGAGACAGGCGAGATCCCGAGTGTCCAGGCACATCTGTATTTATTAGGTGTAGGTTAGGAAGGGTAGTGAGTGAGGTCATCTTAAGGATAGTGATAGGGCCAAGACAATCATGTGAGCAATAAAAAAGGTGCCCACCCCCATTAGGTCACCGAGGCAAGGAGTGACGGTCACCGAGGCAAGGAGTGACCTAATGGGGATGGGCAGTGTGCAGCAAGAAGGATGCAGTGTGCAACATCTCTTATCTAGGGGCAGGTAACTCCTAAGGTTTTCTATAGGAGGATGTTTTGAGTCAGCACAGTAGCAAGAGAGCTGGCAGGGTATACAGCCAACGAGGTGCGGTTATACTGGAGGGGTTTTAAGCCCTCAGAGGTTCGTGGGATTGCTGGCCTGAGGCCAGCTTTCCACAAGAACTGGACGCAAGATACTACAACTGCGTTACAGGAGGAGTGACTCTTGCTCCAAGCCTGCCATACAGGGGATATCCTTACGATACTGAATGCTGCTGCTAGGGCCGGCCTGCCATGTAGCACATGCCCTTTCAGGCTGGGGCACTACTGCCTGGGCCATTGATTCTTGTCCTGGTATGGCCGATTTTTCCCTAGTTCATGCTCTGTACCATGTCTGCTCTTGACAGTCCTCTGACTACAAACTAAGATATGATCATATAAAAGGATTATATAAAAGGAAGTATATGAGGAGTAAGTTATTCTTCAGGCACTAATTGTGCCAGGGGTCTGCTTAGCTCTCCTTCCTCGGTGCCCAGAAGGGGGGTTACCCATACATTTGATAGCAAATATATCACAGAGGCTAACATTAGAACCCACCCTGATTGCTTACATCAGGGTAAAAGCATTCTTGGAGAGTGTTGTTGAACAGTAGATTGGAACATATGACTACCGAGTGACTTACAGAGCTTGGAACTTCAGCAGTGCACACAACTGCTCAGATGCCCTCAAGTACAGAGGAAGGCTGATGTCACCTCCTGAGGAGTTTGAACCAGTAAGCTAATGATTGGGGTAGCTAACAATTTAACCTAATCCTCAAAGTCATTGCAAGCCACCTAGAAATAAAATGGCCTTTTGTTTGTCATATTTCTATGAGCTTCAAGGGTGAGCTCTCTAAATCAGTACAGATAATCACCTGTATGAGTAAGCACCCTTTGAAGAGCACAGCTTCCAGTTCAATGAAGTCACATTCTCCCATGTTATATGTTGGAGATTGGTACCTCCTGGGAACAATCATACTGCTTCGCACTGGATTTCTCCATGGACGTGGGACAAAGATTTTTCCAAAATTATCTGATAATAAGACACAGAAAAACTGATTTGCTATTGGCAACCAGTAGATGGTTGATTACATACCCACAATGACCCAGGACTATAGACCCATAGACCATGATAAATGTGACCTGTCTTCAATGGGTTCTTATTCATCCAAATGCACACCATGGGAACTGCAGCAAAATTCCATGAGCGTCTTGTTAGCCACCAGACCTACTAGGGTGAGGAGGTATTTTATGCTCAACATCAGTGGGTTTCTTTGCTTCTGGAATTAGGACAGATTGCTGGGCTCTGAGGCACTCTCAAGAGGCCTCCTAATCCATGCCCCCAGATTCTAAACCAGAACCCCGTAAAGTAACCATAGGTCATGTGGCTTTTTGAGGTCCTACTAGGGCCGTTAAACACTGACTCGTGTGTCTTGCTGCCTTTTGGGTAGAAATTCCTACACTCATTTCCTCACCCTGCAGGAGAAACCGCTTGTTCTTTGCCCTTCCCAAATCTCCGTGGGCTTAGAGAGAACCAAGTGTATGTCCAGGTATCTCAGGAGAACTGGGTCAGGTGAGGGACCAAGACTCTTTGGAACTTGAGGACTCACAAGCTCAGAGGCTGGGTGACTTTCCTAGCCTTCCCCCTGAGTCATTACTGCTTCGTATCCTCCAGGAGAGTTAAAGAGTGTGCACTGGATCTCAGCAATTTTTGGCTAAAGGGCCTTACCCTAATTCTTCCGCAGGAGCTAAGTCAAGCCCAGCCCAGGCCAGGCCCACTTTTGGCTCCACACTGCCACCTTGCGGCCCCATGGCAAACTCCAAGACACTTTGCTTTTCCCATTTAAACTGAGTGCAGGATGGCCCCTTCCCCTAACCACCTCAGCCTTTCAGTCAAGACAAACACACTTGAATTGTATCTTGCATATCCCATTATTATTGCCCCCAGAAAACTAAAGATCCACAGAAATTTCCTGGATATTAAATCTTTTTATTGGTGAATTTCAACCTGGGTTTCTGACCCAGGGATGAATTGCTACAGCCTGGGCTGAATCTGTAGCTCCATAGTAGATAAAAGACCTATTTACATGTGAAACACAGACACAGTATCTGCAAAAGTACAGCCTGAACCAAACAACGTAGCTGACGATTCTGAGAAATCCTCATAGTCAACTGATGAACCCCTCCTGCCCTCCTCTGTCCCGCCTGCCCCTCATGTCCTGCTCGTACATAGGTTTTAAGGGGCTAAAGTACTGTCATTCACAGTCACAGGATGGCATACACATTTTACACAAGTGCCCAGCCAGAGACAGCATTGTTCAGTTTCTCCTGGGGTTTGCCGTCTGAAATGGGATTCGCCCCAGAGAGCACGGAGCCCCCTCCTTGCTTCCAAGAGTCCCTCCTCCTTGAGCCCTATCCAAGGCTCTTCCACCAGCCCAGATTGTCCAGGTGAGCCTCCTACAAGTCCTGCAGACCTTTCACTCGTAGATCCAATGAGATCCACTACTTCCTTCAGGAGCTTCCTGGAATGGGTTCCTGAGGCCCCCAGCCAGTATGCAGTTGCTCCCCATTGGCCGTATCACAGGACAGAACGAGCTTTCTGGAAAAGATCAAGTGTAGCCTTTCCATGGGAGGAACAAGGAGGGTCCCAAAGCCACCACCGCAGGTAAATCCCCCTTGTGCGATGCAAAACTGAAAATACCATAGAAAATACCATAAGTAAGAGGGGGTCTCTAGAAGGCAAAGGGTAGACAAGGAAGGTGCTTTATTCAGCCTAGACCCCAGGTATGTCTCCTCTTTTCCTCTCTGTAGACTCTCCTGGGACAGGGCCCTGGAAGTCACCTACCAGATGCAATCCGGAGCCACGCTGTTATTCCCGACTCTAACATCTGTTGAGTGTTCTACCTATAGCTACAGTTTAACAAATCCCTCCCAACAAAGTGGGCATTGCTATTTCTATTTCATAAATGAGAAAAGCATTGCTCAGGGAGAGTGGATACCTTGCTTAAGTTGAGACAGGAAGAAAAGGGGTGAGATCAAGATCCAAACCCAGGTCTTTGGGGTACACAGGTGGTGCTCTTTCTACCTCCCAGTCACCATGAAGAACAAAGATTTACCAACTCTAGGCGTTAGGGTCAGAAACTGTGGTCTAAAGATGGGGCATGGGGGTGGGGAGGCCACTTATGTAAGCAGGAGGAGGAGCAGATTCAACAGCCCTGGCTGGCAGGGGAGGCCTCTAAGCCCACTCCACCAGGGCAGATAGACAGGGAAGGAGTGTTAGATGTCAGGGGCTGACATGGGCAGCAGAGACTATGGGTCCTCTCATCTGCCTGAGCCTTGGTCCCAGGAGGCCCTCACTCTCCAGTTCTCTAACACTGAAGGACTGGGATGCTTTGCTCACTCACAACATTCAGTAAGGCTCTTTTCTTTTTCTCTCTTTCTGTCTTTTTTGAAAGGTGTCACAT